CTTCTCAATGAGTTTTGAGAGGAAAGCAATACTTGAAATTGGACGAAAGTTAGCAAGATCATTATGATTCATGTTGGGTTTCTTCAAAATATGTCTTATGACTCCGACCTTTAAGTCGTCAGTGAAAAATTCCTGATGAATAAGATGAGTTGACTATTTTGCAAAAAAATAGGTAAAAAAGTTGAGGCATTGCTAATAATTAATTCGGTAGGAAAGGGATCAAGGTGACATGTTTTTGATGAAACTGTTATAAGAGTTGTTAATATTTCTTCTTCATCTAATAGAGCGAATTGATCAAACTCAATATCGTGTTGTTGATGTTCGAGCACTTCATATGGGGCAGTGTCTGACATGTCTGGTAGTGATGTCCGAATATTCTGAATCTTGTCATGAAAAAATCTGTTAAATTTTTCAGCCAGTTCGAACTATGAAGAGGCTGACGGCAAAATGCTTTCATTAATTTTACCACGAAGTTTGTTGATGATTTCTAAAAGGAGGCGTTGGTCACCACCACATTTCTCAATTTCTGCTTGAATGTAACTGGATCTAGACTTATGCAGAATGGAATGGTATGTTGCACATTGTTTTATGAATGCAGCACAATCTTCTGGGCTCCGTGACTTGACCCATTTTCGTTCAAGAACACGACATTTCCCTTTTTCTATCCTACAAATTCGGTTATACCATGGAAACTTGTCTAACGGTGATAACTTTAACTTTCTCTGGTGCTACCTTGTCTTGTATGGAACTTACGGTGGTATTACATGCAGAAACCAAAGCATTCACATCTTTGTCAATAATATCATTACTAATATGTGTGAAGGCGTCTGATAACATGGTTGTTAGATTATCCATATCTAGATTCTTAAAGTTACGAACTAAACGTTTCTTCTTAGGGTTAAGTGGTTTTGTTTGATCAAGCTGTGCATAAACAATATAATAGCCAGATAGTTGATACTGGTGTACATAGCAATTCCTAATAAGATCATGATTATTTGTAATAACAAGGTCTCAAATATGACCATGCTGTTGTGTAGGTTGATTAACTAATTGAACAAAGTAGAACGAATCAAGAGTTGGCAATAATGGCATATTCATTATCCGTCACAATTATGATTGGTCTAATATTCTACCTCAAAATATGTACCGACAAATTGGTAACTGATATTACAGCGCCACCAATTTTCCCAGCTTTTGCATTATTGTGTTGCTTTTAAATTCTCGCAAAACTGCTTCAGTGTTAGTAACACATAGTCAATTTGAGCCTGAAAGTCAAAATTCGTAAATGTAAAAACCTAACAGCCGGATGCAGAAAATGTTGAAGTGCAGTTTTGTTATTTCATCGCTATACACTAGTCTTGTTATGTCAGGTAGGTACGACCTTAAATGCTCGAATAAGCGCCGCGGCGCTTATACACATTTTGGAGGCTTCAGTGCGGCGCTTATTCGAGAGCGGCGATTATTAAAAAATAATTATTATTATCATTATTATTATTATTATTATTATTATTACTACTATTTTTATTACTACTACTACTATAATAATAACAATAATAATAATAATAATACTAATAATAATTCATTATTATTGTTATTATTACCGTATTAATAACCTAAGAAATTCAAACCGTTGATCTATATAACCCGGACGAATTTTTTTTTTTATTTTTTTATTTACGATTAACTTTTTGTTCATAAAATTGAAGTACAACAAATTTTTCGAAACATTTTTTCTTTGATAATAATGCCCAGCATTCAATGAGCCAACATGATATCGAGGTCTTCGATGTCGATTATATCGTCTTCATCGACGTCAGAGTCCAGTTCGATGTGATCTCTGCCTTCGTCACCAGAATCAGCGTCAGAATCTAAGAGAAATGTGTTTGGCGTGTCCAGATTCTTTTGTAACAGAATCAAATGGGATTCTAAGATATGTCGTCCAGCGAAACAGGGTTGCACTCCTTAAAGCAATGTATTTTATCATCTTGTGACCCGTCCGTTGGTAGTGACCAAAGCTTCTCTGTATCAATTCCGATGTCTGAAATAAAAAGCCATTAAAATGATCATAGAAGAAAATAGCAGCAATTAAAATAATATATCAGGAATGCAAAAGTAGTAATTACACTTTAGTTAGTGAATATAAAGCCTGAGGCAAAACGTAGTTCTTTATTAGCTCCTATTTTATGAGTTTAAAAAATTCCATTTAATGTTTACACATCTTCCTTCGTTGATAGAACTAAAGGTCGTATGTACAATGATGCACACGATACACCAACGGTTCCTCGTCTAGAGAGCCAAAACCCCTGGATGTTTTGGCTCTGCAGACGGTAACAGGCCAGACAGAAAACACACATGTTTGCTGTATCGGGTGTATCGTGTGTTGAGTTGGTGTATCGGGTGAATGATCTCATTTCATCAATATTGTGTGTCATTAAATTTATGAAATGCATCATTATAGATAGCAACATTGTCTCCAAACAAAAGATGTGCAGAAATTAAATGGATTTGGAAACTTATAAAAATGAGCTAATAAGGACCTAATTTTTGTTTAAGGCTTTATTCACTAAGTAAAGTGTAATTACTTTAATACATTTTTTATATTCTTAGTATATTGTATTTATCAATAATTGCTGCTATTTTCAATGATGATGTAATGCAGTTTTTATTCCAATTCCATTTGATAATAACTACAGTAAATACTGTAATCTACAGTACTTGGGTGGTAATTTACATTAAAAAAAACTATTTATCGGCAAATCGGCACAAACATAAAGGCCTTCCTCAATTTATAATATAGCTCCTATAATACAACAACAACAGCACGCAGTGGGCCAACATTGGTTCAAAGTGTTCCAAAAGTCAATACTCATTTAAAAAACAAATCTGATTACGTTCATTTTAAGAGTGTTTAGGGGGTTTCAAGACCTGCCGATCTTTTAAATATGCATGACGTCATCAAAATACTGTTTTTTTGATTGGATGACGAAAATATTGTAAAAACTAGGCAGATTCATATTACCTTGGTTATTGAAACATATATCTGACCTGTAGATTTCAATGTAAGCACCTTTAAAATATATATGGCGTCATTAAAATAATGTTTTTTATTGGACGACGTAAATATTAATTTAATACCTGGACAGATTCCTTTTCCACAGCTGTATGACACGAACCAAGGTTTCTAGACCGGAAAGTCGAATTTGAACATTTTAAATTTTGTGTGTCATTAAAATATATTTTTTCGGCGAGGAGGCGGGGAGCGGGTGGTTTGGAATTGGGACTTAAGAAAACGCCCACCCCCTTAGTCTCGTCCATCCCCTCAGTCTCCTCTCGCCAGTGAAAATGATCACACTCAAGCACAGATATATACAATTTACCTACTCACCATTTTGAGTGTAAGCGCCTCCTCACTTATTCATCGAGCGCTGATCTGGGTTCAAATTTAGGAGGGGATTGATTTAAAAAAAAAAAAACCAAAAAAGAAAGCTGGTTCCGGGGGACTAAAATTTTGATTCCTAGCTGACGTGAATTGAGATTTCCTGACTATTGAAGCGTATTTTAATCACTTTTAAGTTTAAAATTCAAGGTTTTATCCCCTCTTAAAAACGATCCGGTGATTTTTTTCTCATTTATTACAGTAAATAGGCCTATTAGCCTATGTGTGTACCGGTATACATACAGAAAAAAAAACCAAATTTAGTATGTACATACGTATTCTGTTTTCCAAGAATCGATGAACCCCCCTCCCCCCACCCAAAAAAAAGAGGTTTGGGGTCCTCATCCAGGAACATTTTGACTCCTATTAGATAGCAGGAAATAATGCTTCCTCGACTTCTGAGGTGTCTTTCAATGAGGTCCAGGGGACTGAGGTGTATTTTAATGACTTTTAAGTTCTTCAAAATTTTGTTAACCCCTCCTGAAAACGGTGAGGTAAACTTTTAAATTCTTATTACAGTAAATAAGCCTATACGTGTATACATAAAGAAATGAGTAACTGCATACTTATTTGTCCTTTTTCTATGAATCGATGAACCCCAAAGAGAACGGGGTGGGGGTCGGGAAAATTGTGATTTGAGCTTTGTGAAATGATCTTTCCCGACTTTTGATAATAATATTGCAGTTAGTAATCAGCGCAGTTGTGTTAGAACCTACCAGGTACCACTTGTACTCCTGGGTGTAGAGATGCAACTGTAGATAAAGTGGCTTGCCCAAGGACACAAGCGATTTGCACAGCGAGAGTCTCAAACCCCCGACCTCGAGGTTGGGAGTCAAGCCACAACCGATGCGCCAACCGCTTCTACATTCTACACATTTGAGGTGTCTTTTAATGACTTTTTTTAGGTTACACCTCTTGACATTTTTCAATGAATCGATGAAACCCAAAGAGGAAAGGAGGGGAGGGGGGTCCAGGTTCTCCCTGTAAAAAATGTTAATTGCTAGACGGCTAGAAATGAGCTTTCTCGATTTTTTCCGATATTATAATAATAATAATAATAATAATAATAATAATAATAATAATAATAATATTAGTAATAATAATATCTTTCTTTTACAACGGAAGCTCGTCACCAATTTAAAAAAAGAAGGAAAAATAGAAGTGTCTTTTGAGGTGTCTTTAAATGACTTTCAAGTTCTTGAAAATTCAAGATTTACCCCTCTTAAATACTGCATGAAGTGTCAATTTCACTCCTTTCTTCTAAGTAAAATCACAGAAAGTCTTCAAAAATAGGTTAAATTATGCTGTTTTAGCACAAAATGAGTCCTGTTCTTGAAAAATGCGTCCGGATTTCTCTTATTTTTGTCGTAAAATTGGTCAACTTTGAAGAAAATGAGTCAACATTATTTGAATTTACGCGTAAAGAGGGTCCACAATGATATTGTTCGGCACTGTTTGAAAATCCTTTCTACAGCATTGTAAGTAACATTGATGTGATGATGAATATACAAAAAAAATGTCATTTTCTGGTCATCTAGAGGTACTATTTTCACATTAAACTCCATCGAGTCGACATCTGTCTCAGAGTATGTCTTAGTGACTGCTGATGAGGCGGGAGTGCATAAATTTGTGTAAGGATGTGATCTGGTTTTACATGCCCATTTGTCGTGATTATAATTACTTTGGATAAAGAATGTTTTGATCAGTGGTGGATTGAAGGCCCTACATTTTTAAAATGAAAAAAAAATATATATAGGCCACCTATCCAAATTTAAGTCTGAGAATGTAATTTCCGGGTTTCTAGAATTGCCCTAATCATAAATTTTCTTACCTCAGCCCCAATCATGATGGGGCTGAGGTGGGTGGTTCTTCAATCTGTAAATGTCCCTCCTTGGGTCACCTCTCTGTTGAATTCCTAGATCCACCACTGTTGAGTTTTATTATTGTTAGGCTTACTAATATTATTTATAATGCGTTGTTTATTGCAATTTTCACTTTATCATCTCAGAACAGCCCTAAAAATTTTCAGAGGGCGCTACTTTCCAGGGGGATTCTCCCCTGCAACCCCCACCCCAGAGGGTCCTACGTACCTCGCACAACGGCTTCCCCCCCCCCCACCTTTCAAAATCCTGGATACGTCCCTGCTTCTTACTACTAGACCCTACTTGATTTCAGATTTATTGTTTATCATATATACATTTAGCTTTATCCAAACATATCAATTTGATGTCAATTGATATTACTGTATCTTGTGAACCACTTCACACACATGATGAAGTCCCATTTACTGGGGCAAAAGCCTTCAAAATAAAAATTCATCATCAGTCAAGAAAGTGTTACCTATTATTTTTTTTCATTTATATACATTAAAAAATAAGGCTATTATACTACTACTATTATACTACTATCATAATTATACAGTTTGTATAAAATTCAAAATATAACAAGTATTTATTTTATAACATTATATTTTAATTTCTTTTTCAAGTTTTTGTTTTTTAATTTTATACTGTATAACATTCAAAAAAGTGTTTAGGGTGAAAGAAAGTTTCTACGAGGATGTCACCAATGTGTCATAACTGTTCCAATTTTTATCTCAGAGTTCTGTACCGATCCTCTTGGTATTGAAGATGGGACTATTCCCGATGAACAACTGTCCGCATCCAGTGAATGGCATTTACGGTCCGGGGCACATCGTGGACGACTGAACAATATAGCAAATGAGTATGGATATGGAGCGTGGTCGTCATTAACATCTGACCAATACCAGTGGATCCAAGTTAACCTCGGTAAACTGCAAGAGGTATGCGGAGTAATTACACAAGGCCGCATTGGACACTACCAATGGGTGACGTCTTATGAGATTCTTTACAGTGTCGATGGTAACCTGTTCCAACCAATTAGGAATTCAGATTGTCAAGTAACTGTAAGTGTTATTAGGATTTTTTCCCAAAATATTTCAATATATTCCTTATTTTTTTTTCAATTTTTATTCACATTAATTAAATGTATGTTATATCCGAATGTGTTGAGAACTCAATGTTAACCTTTAGATTATGTGATATTTACAGAATTTTGTTGGAAATTCGGACATGGACACTGCCGTGACAAACATATTCTGTGAACCTGTCTTCGCGCAGTTCGTCCGCATTCACCCAACTAACTGGTATCGCCATATAAGTTTACGATTTGAGGTTCTTGGAAGCTCAGCAGGTAAATTAAAATAATATAATACTAATTAGATTTAGATTGAAATTGAGTAGAGATAGAGACGACAACATTGACAATGACAACTATTACTTTGTGTCATTGTGATCATAAATTACGGTAAATGATGTTGGAAAGATTGATTATGATTAAAAATAAATTATTAAATTGCTAAATATTATTCAAATATTATTGTATCTGTCTTATCACAATACAGTTAATTTTCATTTATTTTCTGAAATAATGCTTGTTTTTGTAATCAGATGTTACGAGTTAAACAATTCGATATGAAGACTGTCTTACAGTGTTATAAAGTAATTGTATTTACTTTACCACTGAATATGTTTTCTTTTTTTGTGTAGGCCCAGTTAGACACTCAGCTTATTACAAGTCTTTTCGTTACAATCCACAATGTTCAGTAACGACCAAAAACTCGACAAGAAGCTGCATTAGATGTGCTGTGGCGTGTATGAGGGCGCTAGAATGCAAGTATTTTAAATACGATGGAGAATGCCACTTTTATTCCCGCAGTAATAATGGAAAATTTGATGCCTTTCAGTTTGGTTAAAATGAGCCGTTCCACTATGTCCCCCTTGGATATTGTTGCTAAGGTTTGAAAGGTGTAAACGTAAACGTGTTCATGGGGCATGCGCAAAATTTCTACCTTGTCCTGATTGGTTAGTCGCTTAGTTTGGTCATTCAAGAAATGTTTATAAAAAATTTATTATGTGTGCTTTGTATTTTGTCATTCTTCAAAATCAATGAAGTCTTGACTAATTGAAACTGTGTTTGTAGTAATTTTAATACAAAATCGTTCATTATTTTTATTGGAACCTTTAAAAGTGATTCGTGTTTATGAATTGTAATTTACCGGATGTTGACTAGTTTTAAGCAAAAGTATAGGACTTTCTTAACACTTTACGTAGAATATTTTCCAAGATTTATGTGTAAATTAAATGTTAGTTATTTAGGGCATATTACATCAATGGCTCCTCTTTGACTATGGATTAAATTTAGTGAGGCTACGAACTATCAACAAGACTTTAGTTATAAGTACCTTTTGTTCATTAAAAAAAGAACTACTAATATTTATTTATCGTTGGAGTATGTGAATTTTATTCAATAACGTCCCTTCATCCTATGAATACTGGATAAACTCTATACACAGTTTTCTAAGCAGATTTTGTGCTAGCTATAACTGTATAATCAAAACTATTGTTCATTCTACTCTTCCTTACTCACTACATGGCGATGGTGTAAACTAATTACAGTAATTTGTAATTTTCTTGTTAATTGTGAGGAATATAAGTATACATTTGCCCTGTATGTATTTATATTTTTTTTTTGTTATATGGATATTTATATATGAATTAAAGGGATGAATGAACATTTTTATTCTTAGCAATATGTTCATTATTCAAAATTTTAACGGTGGTATATGAATGTATTGAAAATGTGATTTTGTTATAAACGTAAAAATGTGATTATTCTGCAGAAGATAACATGTCTAAGATTGGAATGACCTTTTAGCTAAGTTCTGACCCTTAGTTGCTAGGGTCCCACAAAACCACAACACAAACATGTGCGTTTATTGGACAACATGTGTGTTTGTAAGGTAAAGAACATTCATTTATAATGACAAGGAATTGTTTGAAACTTTATACAATTCTTTAGTTTGTCCTGTTTAGAATTCAATTGATGTGTTTAGGCGTGTCGCCTTACAATGTAGCGTTATCTAAATTATTGGATTGGTGTCAAGAAAGAGCAACAAAAACATTGCTTGAAATAAAACCCTCTGACAGTTTGAAGATTTAAGGGGTTTATATACTACCAAATGTTCAATTTCGAATAAGCCCCTTCTCAAAAATGCAAACTAAACCATTTTAAATACTATTTTCTTCATTGAGAATTGTTGTTATATAACTCGGATCTGTGTGCTTTGGTGGCATACTGTGTAGGTTATTTCCAATGAAGGGTAATTTATTTAGTATTCAATTCAATTCAATTCAATTCAATTAACATTTATTCAATTAATTAATAAATACATCAAGTGATAAATAAAGTGGACAACATTAAAATTAATTAATTAGGATCAAAAATATAAGCAAAGCTTGTCTCAATTTGACCCCGACAAAACAAAAGGTAAAAACTAATAATAAACGCATATCAGGTAGACCTACATTTTATATATAAAAATATATATATATACATATATATATACATATATACATACACACACGTACATACATACATACATACACATACACACACTTACATACACACACATACACCCCCATACATTCATGTAAATACACACACACGAACACACACATATACACACACACATACATAAATGCACACACACACAAATCAACATATACACACTTATGCACACATATATATATACATACAATATAAATCATCAAAGGTACATATGCAGTGTTTAGATAAGGACATGAAGGAACACCGTAGGCTACCCTGTAGCTATTTAACAAATGTACATGTATATATGTTTGAATATCATACATATATACATATACATACACATACATGTATAAAATAAAATAAAATATTTAAATAAAGTTAAGATTGGTACATTTCTAAATAATATTTCTTCATCTGCTTTCTAAAAGTGTGGGTACTATGGCAATTTTTAAACTTAACATGAGTATCATTCCATAATTTCGGTCCGTATACAGAAATAAAAAATTGGCTTTTGGTTAGTCTTACAAAAGGAATGTAAAGTGAGTTTGAATTTTTTAAGCAATAACTGTGTATAGGTTTATAATCATGAAATAAAGCTAATATAGAGGTTGGGAGTTGGCCTTTTATGTATTGAAACATAAAACACGCAACTTGTAGTTTGTTTAGATCCATAATTTTTAATATATTTAGTTTTTTAAACATAGATTCCGAAGGCGATGCAAATGAAGCTAAATCAATTATTCTGACAACACGTTTTTGTAGCTTAAGTAATCTATCCAGGTTCGAAGAATAGTCACAGGCCCATATTAGGTTACAATACTGCAAATAAGGGAGAATAAGAGTATTGTATAAAGTAATTAAAGTATTGCGTGGGAAGAATAACTTGAGCCTGTTTATTATGCCTATTGATTTTGATATTTTGCTTGCAACGTAATTTTGGTGTAATTTCCAACTTAGAGTTTCTTCAATGAATACTCCCAGAAATCAATGAATACTCCTAGAAACGAAGTATTTGATTTACGTTCTATAGGATTTTCATTTAAAATAATGCTAAAGTTTGAAAAATTAACTTTTTTATGGTGTGAATGAAATAAAATATAGTTAGTCTTTTGAATATTAATTGGGAGCTTATTTGCATTGAACCAGGAACCATTTTTTTAACTCATTATTAAACGTATTGAATAAAACATTGAGTTCTTCATTAGAGTAAAAAAACGTAGTATCATCGGCGAAGGACACCAACTCGAGGGTGTCACTAATTCTACACAAGTCATTAACATATATTATGAAAAGTAACGGTCCCAAGACCGACCCTTGTGGCACCCCACAAGTTACATCCCTCGTCGATGATTTACATGATCCAACAGAAACAAATTGTTTACGATTATTCAAATAACTTATAAACCATTTTAAAGCAATACCTCTAATACCATATCTAAAAAGTTTTGAAATTAAAATTTCGTGGTTAACAACATCAATTGTATACACAAACAATATTGCAATTGTATACACAAACATTTAAAAAATACTTCCAATAATACCCCTCAAAAACCTTCCTGAAATAAAGGATGGTATGGAAGGTAAGTAGACAGCAAGGACGAAAGCGATAAACTTTAAATAGAAGAGGCAGTAATGAATTAAAGATTAGCAAAAACTTTTTTTTGAGCTGATATATATACGTAACATGTACGGTTTGCATTGTAGTGATACACAGATAGGCATTACAGTATCATAATTGTGAGGTTATTGGAAACACAGATTGGCGTTACAGTATCATAATTTGAGGTTATGAAAAGTAAAATATTGTACTATATAATAGCACCCTTGGTCTTTAAAACACAATGTCTATCTTGCTCAGATTATCATTTATTTTTTTTTTTGGAAATTGTGATATATAAAGTTTTATTACAGTATATATTGCCGCAGTATTGAAATAATAAACAAAATTTGAACACAGTATTGACTACAACTTTATAATAAGTCAACGTTTAGTGCGATAGGCCGGCAGGCCTACTTAACTTTTTGTTTTTGGTATTGTTTTATACATAGCTTTGAACAAGCAAAAATGTGAAACCTACAAATGCAATAAGCACCTAAAGATAAAGTTAATAGAAATTTTGTTTTGGAAATTTTTTGAAATTAGCTTTCCCGACTTCTGAGCTGTATTTTATGACTTTAAATTCTTGAAATGTTAAGTTTTCCCCCTCTTAAAAACGGTCAGGTAATCTTTTTCATGCTTATTACAGTAAATACTAGTAGGCCTATTATATGTGTATATAAAGTACATCGCATATATATTCTTTCCACGAATCGATGAACCACAAAGAGGAAGGGAAGCCCCTCCCCATAGAAAAAAAGGCAAATCAGCCAATGTGAATCGCGAGAAATAACTCGGTCGGGGACTGCAACGTCGCAATGTGGGGTTGATTTAGTGTTTGAAAACTGACGTTGAATCGACATTAAAACTGTGCCAGTCAATGTATAACCTAAATTTAACTCCTATTCAACGTTGATTCTCGTCGTTGATGCACCGTCGTGGTAATAACGTTGGTTCAACGTTATACACTGAGTTTGATTCGATGTGGGATTAGGTCACTTGATTGAACCACCTAAAATCAACGTCTATTGTCGATTAAGATACAACGTCGCAATTCATGATCACGTGGATTAAGCGTACACTAACATTAAATCGACGTTAAAATTAGGTCAGTTGATTTAAAAACAAGAATAACGTCTATTCAACGTCGATTCTCTTCGTCGATAGCAACGGTGCTATTTAACGATGTACACAATCGTTAGATAAAGAAATTGTTTAAGTCGGCATAAAATCCAGTATATTCAATGTTGATTTTTATCGTCAATAAACCGATTGTAATATTACGTTGAATCAATTAATACACTGACAACGTTTAATCGACGGCGAAATTCGGTTCAACAAACTGAATTAACGTTTCTTCAACTATTTATGAGAGGGGTTGCGCTTCACCCCTCCACATTTCCTATTCCGCTTCCCTAGATGCATCATCGACGTGAATTCAACGTATATTCAACGTTAATCTGTTTACCATTTTTTTGATGATGCTGCTAAGTATGATGACGACATCAATTTATCTGAATGAACCTATGTGATGAATTACCTGATTATATAATTGTATTCAAAGGTTAATTTTTTAATGTAAGTGAAATTACCATTTCATTAGTTTTTTTTTTTTTTTTTTTTTTTTTTTTTTTGGGGGGGGGGGGGGAGGGGCTTTTTTTCGACTTTT